AATGGGCTGGCAGAACTTTTCAAACACGTTTATATTTCGATGTTAATGTTCAATTTAATACTTACTTACGCTTTCTTCGAACACTCGGCGTTTATTTTAAGACTTAGGTTCAGCCTTGCGTTAAAACTTAGGCTTAAGACCAACTCTAAGTTTTTTATTCCAATGTTAATGTTAAATTTGATTCTTACGTTCAATAACTTACGATTACGATTTAGATTCAGTTTATCATTTGTATTGAAAACTGATAAACACGTTCCTGACCATAGGTAAGTTGTTTCTCGTGTGTGCGGAAGACAAACAACGAGCAAAGAATCGTCTCACGCACACCATCAACAAAATGCAGAGTTAACCGCACACATTTACATAACAATACACACGCACACTCATATATTTACTCATACATTTATTATGGTGATGGCATTTTAATTTTACCATCAAAATTTTTGTTTAGTAATAAGAATGTATGAGCTATACTTACATATATACTAGCAGTTGCTTATAAGTGGCTAAAACCAAGTTTGTTCTATTGAAATAATGAAAAAGAACCACTTGGAATATTTCCGAAGCCTTAAAAAATTAACATCTTTGTGAAGTTTTGTTTAAAACGAATACTTGGTTTTAGTTAACGCAATGAGCTGGATTTGCGCCATTTAGTCATCAAGATAGTGATTTAACGTTGAATCGTTAGTCTGTTACATAAAGAAAGGTTAAAGGTTAATCTCTCTCTTTTGCGTTTGCTTCAGAGGTTTCAACGACAAACACACAGCGTACATGAATACGCGTGCAAACCACGCATCATACACATTGAATATGATAGACTATTATATAGATGTCCGTCCATGGTCTGTTATTGCAAATTTCACATGTAAGTGGTGGATTTGTTTTGTCTAAGATTCATGAATGGGTAATTGCAGAGTGACCAATTTTCATTCTATTTGTAATAGTTTGAGGATTACGATTTAGGCTGGAATTTTCATTATTTTTAAATATACTATAGATACAAAATTTGAGATTTTATTCCATTCACTTTGCTATTTTTGACCATTGTGTGGTAATGAGATGTTTGCTATGGAAAATGAGTGGGCTTATGATAGGTTAAACAAGTTTTAATTTGTTTATATTTTTAGAGTAACCTTCATTGTAAAATAATTAAAAAAATTTTCAAAGTATGATTTTTATCTGAATTTTCAATTCAACGCACTGCTACTAACCTTAATCACTAGTTCAAATATTAACCAAAGGATAATCCTAATAATATTAAAAATATAGATTAAAAAACCAGAAATAAGTTTGCTTAGAATGATAAAACTTGAGACGACGACGAAAGCTGTTGGAGCGGCCTCAGGAGATAGAAGTGCATGTGGCGGAGAGCTGAATTGTAGAGTAAGTTGTTTCGAAAGAATACTCGTTCGCTCATTATGAAACGTCGCAAACTGCAAAGTACTAAAGGTTGAGTAGTTATTGTATAGTTGTTACTATTATTGTTGTTATTATTTTAATTTTTATTGTATTGTTATTCACTCTATTGTTATTATAAATACGACCGGTTCCTATTAAGCTTCCTTTGCATCGATAATAGTACGTACAGACACCTTAATACAAACAGCTTCAACGGAGTGCAAGAAAGCTTTTTCCAAATAAAGATGAGGTGAAAGAACACATTCAGCTATTGACCTGCCCACTGAAACATGCCACACAAAAGTCATCAAAAAACAATAACCATCAATCTTCTGACTTCCCTGATGAGGTTGGTCATGATCTCCTTTCACCCCCCTCAATTATTGCCACATTCCGACTCAACTTAGCAATTTATATAATTACTGGAGTATGGACGGAAATTTTGCATGCTTGGGCAGAATTTATAAATTTTATTGTAAAAATACTACATGAAAACAGAAAGAACAACTGCTGAAAGTATTATTAAAAATATTGGAAAGTGCACATCACAACAGCAATTCCAACTTTGGTACTGCTGCATCTTTTGACTTGGATTAAAAACAGTTTGGTAACAAAGAAGTTGGCTATCGATGTCTATGTGCAGTTGATCTTCCTTCCATAAAAATTAGGATCACTCGAGAATAAATTATAATTAAATTTGACAGAAATGTTGAGACTGAAGCTTTGCAGCTTGGTGCTATCGAGAAAATGCAATTTTTGAAAAGAGATTGTTGCAATGACATTGTTTAATAATATGTGAAAAATGTAAGCATACTTAGTAAGCAGTGACAAAGTTCGTCCCAAGACTTGATCATACCGCCCAGAACCGACACCCTTATCGTCATTATTATTCTTTATAAAGGTGCCATCAAAGTAATTGAACTGTTTGTCAAAAAAGACAATAGTTAATAATTAAATCAAAATAAGCCATCATTTAAAATTTTTTGGATACTTTAAATCATTTAATGCAATAATTTAAAAGTACATTTAAACATGAAGAAATGTACCTCATGCCACGGATTTTGAAACCTGGATTCCTTCCATTCTTTCCCAACATTAAGAAAAGAAGATAAACGACCAAACGAAAGAACGAACGAACGAACGAGTGCATGAACTAATGGTGAAATAAATGAGCCAGGGGAGAAATGAATCACCACTGAGACGTAATAAAAAAACGAATAATAAAATGATGTAATAATTTATTATTATTAGAAGTTGTGTGTCATTTTGGTTGCCGCTGTTGTCGTTGCCATCATTGCTGCAGTTGTTGTTGATGTCGCGTTTGAAGAACTAGCTTAGAAAGTAAAATAATTGTATAGTTAGAAATAGTATTGTACTAGTTGATGCAGTAAGTAAACCACAACCACACACAAATTTAAACGTACGTATGTAATACTTAGGTGTGTGTGTGTGTGTGTGTGTGTGCGCGCGTGTGAATGTTCATAAATAATTTAAAAAGTTGTATAAAAGTAATATATATGTATATATATAGGCATGGGTATAATGGAATGATGCAAACAATATAAGAGCACTTCTGTCCCGGTGATAATGATGATGAAGAGCATGAGTGGGTATGATTGTGGTGGTGGTGATGATGACGATGATGATGGTTGCGATAACGATTAAGATTCTTGTGGTAATGATGATGATGTTCAACATCGACCTTGCTGTAGGAGCATTAATAATGTATTTGTGAGATGATCTGAATCTTAATTATTCTTTATTGCGCGTTCCTTGGCACGTGTGTCATTTTGGTTGCAGTTGTTGTAGTTGTTGATGTTGCAGTTGTTGCAGTTGTTGCAGTTGTTGTTGATGTTGCAGTTGAAGTAGTTGCTTAGAAAGTAAAAAAAGAGTATTATTGTTTGGGGAGAAAAATAGTACAATAGTACTAGATGCAGTAACAGAAGTAGAAATGGAAGTAAGTGGTATCGGCGGTCAAAAGAAGCAGTAACAATAAACGGTGAATACAGCTAATGGAATGGATGTAGACCTGGCAAGCACTGGAAATAATAGGAAAAATAGTGAAATGTGGTTGCGAAATGATATTTTGTTGCTAGCTAATGAATGGTCCATTGAGATGCGATAGATAGCAAACGTTTCAATTAATTCACTTTTACGTTTGTCGTTGTCGTTGCTGTTGTCCTCGTTGTCGTCGCTGTCCTTTTTGTGTTGTTGTTGTTGTTAGTGGTTGTATTGCTAGCGCTGTGTTGATGTTGTTGTTGTGGTAATTAATTGCTTTGTTATTTATTTCGTTGTTTCGTATTGCTTTATTGCTGATAACGTTGATGTTAAGCTATGTTTGTTATTTTGGTTACTCTGTTTTTTCTGATGGCCGGTGTGATGAGGTTGATGATGGTAATGATGACGAGATGATGATGGTGATGATGATGGTGATGATGATGGTAATGATGATGGTGATGAGTTGGTGATGAGATGATGATGGTGATGATTGCAGTGATAATGATGATAAAAGATGGCAATGCAGACGGTAACTGACTGCATCCATGACGATGATGATGATGATGATTACGAAAATGACATGTTGAACGTTAAGACGTCGATGACAATAGCTGTAATAAAAACAGACCTATGTTGTAATGTGGCGGTAGTGGTGGTGGTGATGATGATGATGGTGATGATGATGATGGTGGTGGTTTTGATGAGGATGATGAAAATTTGATATAATAATAAAATGTATTAGTATCATAACCGGAAGTCTTTCATCAGAATGTTATGAAGTGAAGACAAAAACTGCATTGTTGATATCGTGTAACCATTTATTCACCACACTTTGATGCACACATGTGCGTAATGTTGGTTTGTATATAAATACATACACAAACACATACACGCATACATAAATTCATACTTATCTAAAATAGATCCCAAATTAACACAAATTTTCTAAAGATTTCATATAACAAATAACTGTCTCTTGAAACTTGTAGGGTTAGAACCCAATGATATTGAGCTCGGAAGTTTGATTTTATTGTTGTAAATGATAATATAATAATTTAATAATATTAATAGTATTATTATTATCATTATTAATACAACTGAACTGACAACTAAATAATTAAGAATACTCAGAAGATGGAAATTATTTGTTGCAGGTTTTAAACAAAATTGATTGGTCTTTTTTACCTCGCTAGATAACTTTGGCAGAAGGTGCGTGTTTAAATTAATCACTAAAAAAACATAATTGCTTTTAGGCGGATTAACTGATCAAAAATTAATATACCCAGTTGGAAGTTGATTCGAATGAAATACTTTTGGCAATTTGTCGAACATCTTATGTAAATTTCTGTCGCATTACCCAGACTGCAATACAATAGTTCACGTACGGGAAAGATGATGCGAAGTATAAACTTATCAAGATTTAAAAAATAAAGTAAATGCCAACTTATTCATTTAGTTTTTAGACAATTTTGCTAATTGTGTTGATGCGTTCCTCCCATGAAAAATTTTTACAGGTAGTGACTCACAAACATCTGTATGAATCTTCTCTGAATTTTTTTTTGTTATCTAATAAAATTTTAGACATCAATGAATCGGTTAAAATCCTAGCACCAAACAGCATACATGGTTGTTCTTGATAACGATCCTCCATGGTTGTTCATGATAATAATCCTCCATGGTTGTTCAAATGTTGGCTCATTGGCTGTTTCCATAGTTGATGATTTTTCGCTCTGTCTCTGTGATGCGTTTGATGTCGGCGTTTGATGATTTTGTTGTTTAAGGTGGTGGTGATGACGATGATGGTAGTGTTTATTTAAGATGGAGGAGACGATGATGGTGATGGGGTGATGATGACCTTTATTTAGGTAGTGGTGATGATTACGTTTATTTAAGCTTTTTAATTTGATAAGGAAGGTTATGCTTATTTACGGTGTTATGATGAGGATAATGTTTATCATAGGTTAGCCAACGTCGGGGATGTTGGCTCGCACGTAAGATGTGCCAACTTTGTGCAGCTACAGCTCGAATATGTGCCAATGTTGACGAACTGAGATGGAGTGCTGCGTTGGAGAAATTTAAACTCTCCTGCTGAGAAGCAGATCCGTGTTTAAATAGCAGATCCGTGTTTAAACAGCAGATCCGTGTTTAAACAGCAAATCCGTGTTTAAATAGCAGATACGTGTTAACATCAGATCCATGTTTAAAGAGCAGATCCTTGTTAACATCAGATCCATGTTTAAACAGTAAATAAAATTGTCGGCGCATAATTCACATGCGTCACGAATGCATCCCAGAAGCAGTCCGTTGTTTGATTGAGCGGAAGTGACAACACGGACAGACTGTTGCACTGAAGACAGGATTGGCTTCGTGCCACAGGAGCTGCTCGCCACTTGCCAAATGGGGTCAATTTCTTCACCGGTGATTATGTGATGTGATGATATTGTAATCAAAAAGATTTCGACTTCACAATAGTGATGATATTTATGAAAGTTTTTGTTGATTACGATTATGATGATGTTAGTTATCATAATAATGAAAGTTATAATCCTTATATCGAAGATTTATTTGATAACTTTTTTAGATGTGAATCAAAATTGATGTGAAAGTTTGATAAAATAATCATCACTTTTCTTCGTTGATAACATTTTATCATTGGTCTGGTGATTTTTGTTTGCAAATGTTCTAATTTTGTTGATGTTGTTATTGTTGGTTATTGTTGGTTATTGTTGTTGATGTTGTCATTGTGTTGATGTTGTCATTGTTGTTGTTGTTGTTGATGTTATTATTGTTGTTAATGTTGTTGATGTTGTTGATGTTTTTATTGTTGTTGATGTTATTATTGTTGTTAATGTTGTTGATTTTGTTGAATTTTCCAAGTCACTAGCCCGTTCAAAATTTTTTATCTGTTTTTCATTGTCGTTTTGGTTGTTGTTGTTGTTGTTGCTGCTGCTGCTGATGATGATGATACTACTCAGTTTGAGGTTGCTTGTGTTTTTTTGTTGTTTATCGTTGCGTCGTGTTTGCTGTGGTAATTGGGCGATGTTCAACGCGGTCATCATCCTCCTGCCTGACATGTGCATTCTCATCAATGTAATGTGTTGTTGTGTTGTTGCTGACGTTGTTGTAGATAGTGTTGCTGTTGTTGGCTCTAGTGTTGTCCTATTTGTTTTTGTTGAATGTTCATTATTTTCTTTAATGAATTTATGGTTGTTGATGGTGTTGCTTTATGTAGTCGGTTGATGTCTTTGTAAATGTTGTTGTTGTTGTTGTTGTGTTTTTGTTGTTGTTATGATTTATTTTCCAGCTGGCATTCTTTGCAACCTAGGCGTCATGGTTAATTTCTCCAAGACTCCTTCGAATACCCATGGATGGCGTCAATAGATGTCCAAAAAACAGAAACTGCTGTACTATTTTCCTGTACTTACGCCGTAACTTATCAAAGATTGTTTGTTGCACAGAGCAATACCTGCTTCTTCAATCTTGGTACCTGGATCAGTTAAACATGTACTTGAACGTCTGCCTTCTTTGCTGTACTCCTGGCTTCCCTCACTGCCCCTATTCAGCTAAGTAGCGACGTCCCCTTGACCCTTTCAAATCACTCTTATGTTGGATTTGGTTTGCTTCCACGGCGGTTGATCTGTATCTAAGGATTTGTTACATATGCTCCTTCTTCTTTTGCCTTTGACAGCTGGTGGAGTCATATTTTGCAATGCCGGACCGTAGTAAGCTGGAGCCCAATCGTCTCTCACTGAAGTTGTTGCTGTTGCTGTTCACGGTGTGCGTCATATTTACCAGGGATGGATGATTATGATGTTTGGGTGATCGGGATGGTGGTGATAATGGTCATGATATTTTTCATTTTTTGTTGATGTTTTAGCTGACATCAATTTGTTTATTGTTTTTGTTGTTTTTGTTTGTAAATTTGTCATAAATGT